CCCTGGGATCACTCTGTGGACAATAGTCTGGGCTAGAATTTCTATCCTCTCCTCTTCATGGATGGGTAAAGAAGAGATGGTGCTATGGTTTCATAAAGCCAAACCATTTACTAAAACATCCAAAGCACTAATTTGTGTTAATTATCTAGTCAATTCAGTTGATATTAACTGTGTGGTCTTTGGTTTGCTTGAGAGGGAGGTAGGCAGGCAGTGTGATGCCCCAGGTCAGATGCTTTGACTTGCAGTTGTGAGCAGCACATTGCTAACAGTCGAAGAGATGTAGAAAATGCGAAAGTTTGGTCACTCAATTATTTGCTGTTATTTCCAAGAAGGGATCAACATTATGAAAGATGCATGTTTTAGTAGAAATATTTGTACTATTTGTATTTTTACTTTCAAAAGGTAAGAACATCTTTTGTTCAATATATTAAATTCTGAACCTTCCCCGAAAGGTAATTTGGCAATTACGAAGCACTCCCTGTGACTCCAAAGAAAGGCAAAAACTATTTTGAAAGACCGGAGCAAATTGCCCCAAACTTTTTTCATTGGTCAAACACTAGCAGTTTTACTGTTCGTCTGTGCTAATGCATGTCTGTCAGGGAGAAAGCAGTGCTTATGGTACATTTAAATGCATTATTTTTACTTACTAAGCATTATCACCAATATATTTTCTTTTTTTTTTTCTTGTTGAAGTATTAGTTGCATTTAAATGTAGACATTATTTCTGGAGTTGGAAAGCCCCTTAAGAACCTTAAGACATAAATAAATAAAAAAAAAAAAGAAAAAAAAGGAAGTAAAGAGAAAAGAAAAAAAATTTAAAAGTAAGAGAAGAAAGAAAGTTTTTCATTAACAAAATTACAATCTCGGTATTGAAGAGTTAAATAAGCTTCTTCGTATAAAATATAATAGTCTTCAAAATGACCAGGCTTATGATTCTTCATGTTGAATACTAACTAACAAATATAATCAGGCAAACATATTTTAGTATTACAGCTGGCGTATTTCTGCTGTTACACTACACTAATTTATGCTGTTACTTAACATGAGTAGGTACTACCTTGACCTGACACACTGTATCTAGAACGTCATTTTAATTAGCATTAAGACTGATGATCGTATGACACTAAATAATGAGAAAAGTGCTATTTCAAGTGACTTAACTCCTTAGTTCTTGCCTCATGATACAAATGGCTCAGTGGCCATTAGCAGGTCTCATAGCTTTTCTGTGCTTCTACTTTCTTTGTCTGCATAATCAGACCATAATGCCTGCCTACATCTTGGGAATACTGTAGAAATGAAGTATCTTCATGCTTCTACAGTGTTTTGACATAGTACAACATTAAAGTTAAAATACATTATCATTCTAACTACTGTTACACAATTATCACCACTTCGATGAAAGGCAGCTTTGATGCAACGATCTGAGAAAGCTAGGAGCTACGTCGATATTAGTTTATTCTTTTTTACGATCAGAGTGTGGTTATTCGCATTGTTTGCAGTGGGCTTGGTCACCAGCCTCCATGTTTATGGCTTCGCTGTGGTTTATTGCAGGGGCAGTGGCTGGGGCTTCTCTCAGAACATTGTGCTTCCAGGTTTTTTTTGTTGTTGTTGTTGTTGGGTTTTGTTTTGGTTTGGTTTTTGGGTTTTTTGGGTTTTTTTTGGTTTTTTTTTGTAATTTCACCTGGGCAGCAGATGCCCTTAAAATCAATGTCTTGACATGTATCTCTTTGCACAGTGTATTTCAGTTAGCCAGCATCTGCCCATAATCTATAGTTGCTTAATTGTCAGTTTTTACTGGGAAGTGTTTCATAGCTTGTTTTATTTCCTCTTTGTGTGATTCAGGTTACCATGGCCTTTACTGTGAAGAGGAATATAATGAATGCCTTTCTGCACCCTGCCAGAATGGAGCCACCTGCAGAGACCTCGTCAATAGCTATGAGTGCCTGTGCCTTGCTGAATATGAAGGTAGGGTGGGGTTTGCCTCTTGGTTTTTCAATTGTATTCTATGTATTTTTATGGTAGGTTCTGTTACAGACAGATATACAATGTCCTCCACTGAGCAGAAATGAACCGCACATCTAAAGTGAACGGAAACAAATTTCAATGTACATCCTGATCCCATAATCTTTATTCAAATGAGTAGTTCAGATTTAGCTGGTCTGTGAGAAATGTATGTCCTTGTCTGGGGACAAATGGCTGCTCTCTGTTCTTATTAGGTGTACTTTTTTTTCCTGCTGTTTTTAAGATATGTTAGAAAGCGATGGGTTTTTAAAATAAAACATAACAAAATTTTTCATCAGTTACTGTTAGGAGCCATTAAATGGAGGGCTTTCCAAATTATTTTTTAATTTATTTCCTCCAGTGAAGTGAGTTAAAAACATAGTAATAAAAGATTAGCATTTGAAACAGATTAGCACAAGGGAGTAAAAATGAAAGTTTTACCTTGATTGTTCATTTAGAAGACCATAAAGCCCAGAGACAGTAGTAGGTCTATGCTGCTTTCCCATGTTAACGGCAGCTGTTCTTAGATATGTTCAAATGGAATCAGTCTTCAACGTTTCTTAAGTGATTTATAAAATAGAGCAGAAAAGTATGTGATTTGCTATACAAAATCTTTTATCTTGCAGTGGGTTTCAGCTTTACACAGAGCAGCACATATCAGCTGTCTGTGACATGTCCCTCTGCAGAGGGCTAAAATGATACATTTTTTGTGTATTCTGTTTCAAATCATGCTGTGAGAAGATTTTGAGTGTAATTTTATGTTATTAGTATTTATATATATATTTTTTACATAGAATGACTACGTCTTAGGGAACATTACCTCAGTATTTTCTCATTAAGCATACCAATCCTTATCTGTGTTGATAAGTAATGCTCACTTAACAGCTGCTTGAGGGTAAATATGTATTTCATGCTGGCGATTGCACTGCTCTTTGACAATAGATACAGAATTCATCATTTTAGAGGCTTAGTGAGGAAATGACCCTCAGCTTTTCATGTCAGTTTAAAGAGCACTTAACTATAATGTTATGACTTCATGTTCTGTTCTCATCCCACCTGTACATGCAGCTGAAAGCACTGTGTGCACAGCACATTTTGCTTTAAATGAAAGCAGGGGAATGGGTCCTGTAAGGAGTTTTTGCTGATAACTGAGCTTTCTCCATGCCCATACTTCAGGTATTCAGTGACACTAATGAGCAGAGCTGAGGTACCCAGCTCAAGATACCATGTGGGCCATTAGAGGCCTCAGTTTTACCACCACCAACCCAGACCTCCCTGCCTGCAGTCCCTGCTTCTGCCTCCATGCCCCCTGGCTGGCAAATAGACAGGAGCTGCTGTCACTGGTTGGGGCTGCAGTACGTGCCAGCGCGTACCTGTGGGCTTCTGACTCTGCTGGCCTCTGCTGCTTAGCTGCAGAAGGCTCAAACCAGAGTGCTCTGCCTTTCTGCTGCTGGCAGAACAACCAAATGATTTCAGCAGGTCTATAGCGAGTGAGTACGTGTGTGTGTGTGTGTATAAAACATATATATTTAAAGTAAGTTGCTTTTATATATTTTTTAATTATCTCTTAATTTGAGATGATTTTTTATATAACTCATATAAGCTTGCATTGCTGTACATAACTGCAGTGTTGAACACTACAACACTAAGTTAATTCCTTTTAATCGTTCACTCATTAAATACGTTTGCTTGTATGCATACATCTGATCTATCATATGTGTCCATTTTCTTCCTTTTGTGTACTGATTTTACTTTCTCATATTCTTTTCTCTAAAGACTATTTTGTTACTAATTTTACCTCTGCATGGTTCTGTGTCTCAGACTTTCCAAATTCAAATTCACAAACTGCCCAATTCCAGTACAACACAACTGGTATTCATGAAAGAGGTTGGGAAGGAGTAAGGCAGGATCAGCTGCATGTCCACTCTTCACATTGATTTGTCTCACCTCTTCTAGTCCTCCATCACTGTAGGTTCTATAATCTCCACAAGCAACAGAATTCCTTCACTGTCATTCACTACCTCATGATTAGAAACATTTTCCCGATGCCAGAGCTGTATTTCAGTTTTTATAAATAATAAACAGTGTGAGTTTATGCTTCTGTTGACTATGCAGTATGCAGGACAGTAAGGATTTAGAAACATGAACCACCTTAAAAAGTGAAAAATGCGTTTGTAATTTGTAAGTGTTATTGCATGGAAGCATTCAGAATCCTGTCCTGCTCTTCAGTTTGTTGAAATTCTTGTAACAAGTATAAGAATGGGAAAACTTGAAGATAACTAGGATTTTAGCTAAGTGGTCACTTTGGATTCATTACCAAGCAAAGAATGGTAATAAGACTTAGATTTAGACTTAAAACTTAGATTAATGGATAAATTTAAGCAGGTATTTTAAATGCAAGCTAACTTCACTGTAGTAGATACATAATAAACAAAGTCCCACCAGTCGTTCATTCTTCACATATATACGTTTATTTTTTTCATGTTTCAGTGCCATCCATGCACTGATTAGATCATTCATCTACTGATTTTTCTAGTTTTATCTGAAAAGTAGATCCAGAGAAAATGATGCATGTAGCAGTGGCAGCAGAGCCTCCCTCCCCATCCCCAGGTGGGAATCTGCTGTGCTTTATGATCTGTATGCCAGATACGGCTGGCACTGTCTTCTGCAAGGCAAGGCTGCTGAATTCGCACAGCCTACACCTGAGAATGACAGTGAAGGTAGTGGCATGAGATTGAGCAACCCAATTATTTACTTTTAGCTATGCATTTGAATAAATTAATTTCTCTTTTTATTGCCTTAGTTATCTTCCTCAGTTTCCTGCAAAAGTCAGTAAGAGGCATCAGAATGCTTATGTATATTATTAAAGAAGTTATTGCATAAAAGTCTTACTGAAGACAATTATTATTTACATTTTATTGAAGAATATTAGATAGCCGATAGCTATTATAGCTATTATACCATTGGTTTTTCATAGACACTGCAGCACTTCTTGTTGGCAAAAATTTCCCTACCTCTCTTATCCCAAAGCCTCTGTGGGTGGGAAGAGCAGAGAGGAGGCATGTGTATAAGAAGTTTAGCCACCATGAAATATATGGCTTTAGTCTTATGGCATTAGCCTCACAGGACAGGTTTGGAGGCTGCACATAATTGTGCTCATCCAGGTGAAGTTATCGCATATACTGATTTCATGCTGTCAGTATAGGTCATATTAATGGCAGTTACTCATTTTACCTTTTCAGGAAGGCACTGTGAATTATACAAAGATCCTTGTGTTAATATCAACTGTCAGAATGGTGGGACTTGTGACAGCGAAGGTCTAAATGCTACATGCATTTGTGCACCTGGATACACAGGCAAGTAATTAGTACATTACACAGAACATCTAGTTGTCAGTGTTCACTGTGTCCAAAAGAAGACAAATACCAAGTAAGACTATGTCACTTCAAGGAAACAAATTAATTTGGACTTTGATGAATTGTAATCAGTCTAGTCAGAATGAGAAGTTCTTGATATTACTTGCAACTGCTTTGAACTTTAAAAGTTTTGCAGAAAAAAAAGCCTGTTACTCAAGAGAATTCACTAAGCTAATTCGCAGCGATTTAATTTGCCTTATGACCTTACTGCTTGAGACTAGATTGCATTTTAAAAATAACATTTTGAAGACTTCCAGGTAAGCCAATATACTAATTGGACACTGTTGAAACTGGAAAATGTTTTAACATTGACCTTAGTTACTGCAAGCTGAAGAAACAACTAATTCTGTTCCCTTAGTATGCAATTGCTAAAAGCCCCAAAGTGCTTGTTATGAATCAATTTGCACTTTCAGAGTAATGGTAAGCAGCCCATTTAATCCTTCGGCCTTGTATTTAAACTGACACGAGTGGTGTAACCCAAATATCTGCTGTCCAGACAATTTATGACCTGATGCTCTGTTCGTCATGTAAACTAATATCCAATGTGATAGTAATAGATAAATCCATTCGTAGATGGTTTATAGATCAAATCATGCTTTTTGATCTGTGCTAATTAAAGGGCATTCTTTGGAAAAGAATTAGCTTTCCGTTGTACAGCGGCTGCTCCTCAGAGCCACTGATTACCTACATTATTGCATAGCACTTCAGAATATACAGGATAAATTGTTATACCACATTTTCTTGGGATGGAACTTATTTAAAGAAATGAGAGACACCTAATCTGGGTGAAGTTAGTCAAGTCACTTAGCCCTCAGACTTTGTTTTCATCTGGTTTAATTTGGATAATATTTCCTTCTTGGAGGCTATGTCAGACTTATTTCTTGAAACAGTTATAGAATACTTTTGACATTCTGAGAATAGATGCTATTGATCTATAAGGTGTTTTTCAGCTAGAGTTAAATGACTGACAGTGTATCTGCTACATGAGGCACCTGCTATATATAAGTTTGTTTTTTGGTTTTGTTTTTTCTGATATAAGGTGAAGAATGTGAGATTGATGTAAATGACTGTGACAGCAACCCATGTCACCATGCTGGCACTTGCATAGATCAGCCTGGTGGTTACACCTGCCATTGTCCACATGGATGGGTCGGTGCAAACTGCGAAATACGTAAGTTTTGTAGTTTTCTAAAAATTTCTTAAAATGATACATTAGAATAAAGGAATTTATATTTGTCTTTAAATTCCTATCTGCACAAATACTTTGAATCATCTGCGAATTATCAAAATTCTGTTAAATGCATTTTATTTAGGCCATAACATTTCAAAAGTGCCTATGAAAGTTAGAAAATTCTGTTTCCGGGCACCTACTTTGAGATGTGTTGGACTAGATTGTCAGAGATGCTCTCTCACAGCTGGGCACTAACCAGTTTGCCTTTTAATTGCACTTACGCTTCAGAGCTTACTTTCATACTTGGCTTGGGTAGAGTATACTTCCATAGCGCTATAAGCATGGTCGTAACAGCCCTCTACTGACTTCTGAGCACCGGCAGTTCTAGTGATGTTTCAGCAAAACAATTCTGAATTTGCTTACCTAAGGAAACAAGCCCTGTGTAATTGTGCTGTGACTTGTGTGTGCATGCATTTTTCAAGAATAACTTTTGCAACCATAGGCTCATTTCCACCTTTTTTCTTAGACAGGTAAAGGTCTCCAGAATAAAATATGCATTTATTAAGACTTGGAGAGGTTCCATTGGTGGGTCTAGTGAAGGAACAGCTTCGGTGTGATCTTGGCTCTTAGTATAGAGAAAAGCTTCAGTGTCAGTGCACCCTTACAGAGCAGTAGAGGGCCCATGAGAGGAAGACAGTATGAAGCCCAACTGTGGAAGAGTTAAAACAGAAATTAGGCTTCATTAGTTCTGCTGCTCACGGAACTGCTTTGTATTTTCCTGATGTCTTCTTCTTGGGCTACAGATGCTGTATTTACTAGGGAGTTTAGCTATGTATTTAACTGCCTGAATGCGCAGGTACTGTGGTCATAGATCCCTTCAAGTCATTACAGAGATACACAAGTTTGTGTGAGGCAATTTACACCACTTAGCACAGCCAATGTTGCAGGGATAGGTGATAGATTAAAAAATAAACAGAAGGGACTCGGGAAGCTTCTATTGTACGTTCGTGAGAAAATGCCTGCACAAAGGCAAAGTGTTTTCTATATCTCATTTACACAAGGAGCATATGAAGTTTTTCTTTTTTACTCTTTTACTTCATTTTTACTTAAACATATCAACTGCTTTTTAAGTTGATTTCTGTTCTTGACGTTTGTCCTTATTTTAACTCAGAAGACAACTCTGTTCACATCTGGACTGACACAAAAGTTTTATCTTGACAGGTTTAAGACCTTCTCTCCCTGTAATTGTTGGTTGTGAATTCAGTTTCAGTGCTTTCTGTTGGAAGCAAAGACTCCAGAAGAGCAGTGCTAGCTAGTCCAGAGGTGGTGACAGCACTGCCTTTTTTGTCTCCGAATAGCACACATGCCTCCCTGTGTGGTACAGAACCATCGTGATGTTGGGAGCACAATGTTGCGTGCTATCTGTATGCCACATTGCTCATGCTAAAAGATGCTCAGATGAGCTTTTACTGACAAGGCTGTTGTTAGAGATACCCACAACAAGCATGTCCAAGTTATCAGCAAGACAGTGTAATTCTGCCTGCCTTAGCTAATAAGTAGTGGGCTGGCAGACAGATGAGTACAGTTCTTGGAGAAAGCAATAATCATCCTGGAAACGTACTTCCTGGAGTACCTCAATGCAGTAACAATTACATGTCTGTTATGTTATGGAATGAATAGATGCCAAAGGGAAACAGATGGACTTGCGTGCTTTCTGAGCTCTGCAGACGTGCTATGTGAAATCAGTGATGCTTGTTCCGGAGTCCTCCTTTGGCTGTCATGCTCTAGTCACTAAGAGTTTGGCTGTTTGTACTACAGATGCATAGTGAGGCGCATATAAACATGCGGGAAAATGAGGGAAGTGGAACAGAGGGTAGAAGAAGCCTTTTGTACTGTCCAGCTACTCAATTATTCCTGCTTCCCTCCATGAGGGAGGCATGCCGCTAAGCACTTTATATGACTGGTAGGTTCAAGCTTATGTCTGTGGTTGGTAACTATTGACTCTTTTCTGACCTCATTTGTAAGTGTACAAGACAGAGAATGGATAAAACTCTGCTTAAACTTTGTTCTCTTGAGCAAGGGGATTGTCTCTGCTTAGTGCATATTTCTCTGCCCGCAGCATGTTTATAGTTGAACTGCACTGGCCTTGCCTGCTGCTCAGGAACTTGGATTTTCTGCTTATATTACACACTCGCAAACTGTGTAAGTTCAAATGATGGGAAGAAGCCACGGCACTTTGTTGTTGCTGTTTTAAGCCTTTTACTGACTGATTTGTTCTTTTGTCTTGTGACTACTAGGGCAGGAGGCAGGGAATTATCTGAGTGTTAACTGGCTTTGCTAACACTGCAAGGCTGACTCTCAACCAGAAATATTAGACCTTTTTTTTACATCTCAATATTTGGAGAACAAATTATATAGTATTGTTCATGGCAATTGTTTTCAATTGAAGAGGTTGAAATTACAGTGGGTTTTATCCAACAAGTCAGGATAACTAAGAGTGTATTTATGTAATAGTAATAATAGAAGAGATATAAAAAAATGCAATCTAGAAAATTCTGGTTTGGCTTGGTCTTAAAAGAATGAAAACAAGAAAAAAATTTTTTGCATAGTCACATCAAGGTACGTTTTGAAGAACAATTAAGTTTAAAATTTGAGGGTTACCAATAGTTTCTTCAATCAGCTTAACATCAGCAAATGTCTGATGTTCCCTTGCTATTGAAGTCACTTTGACACAGCATCAAAATAAAATGATGTGGTGTTATGAGGACGCCATGATACTTCACAGTACTCAGATATAAGTATGGACGTGCAGCCTCTCTAACCAATGCAGTGGCTTATACACAAAGCTGTGGAAGCTTTCCTAAAGCGCTTGGATTTTAACAGGTATATAAAGGATTATGCAAATAGAGAGGGATTGAGTTTTGAAGAAATCACTTTGCAGAAAGGATTTAAAAGCATTTTGTTCTGCAGACTTTTTCTACAGAACTGTGTATCCATGGGAAGATCTTTGCACTCACTGTCTTTCCATGAGGTACGAGTTGACCAACTGATGCAAATCCAATTCTAATCATATCTAGAAAGGCCATATCCAGCTCTTAAAGACAGATGCAGCACTTCTGATCTCACTGGAGTTGAGTCAATGGTGCAGTGGATTTCTGTTCAGCTCTAAAGATTGAATCTATTAGTAAATTTGCTTCTGTTCATCTTTCCATATCTCCTTGTCAAATTTGTCATATTGTATCAGCAATTTGTACATAATGGTTAATAATGTATTGGAAATTAAATTTAAACACCACATACTGACTTCCTTTAATATTGGACATCCCTCTGAATGCTATAAAAAGACGTGATGAAGCCAGGCAGGGGGACAAGCTGGTGTTTGAGAGTCATTTGACTAAATAGATCACATTTTGTCTTTTGTGATTTTCTGTTACTAGCCATGAAGGAGGCTGTTGGTACTTAGTCTTTTTTTGTAGAACAGCTCTCTATTTACTATTAATAGTTCCCCATTTTTTCACCAGCTGTTTTATCTTCTTGAAGTGACTACCCTAACGGGATTTCAGGGTTATCTTCTTGTCAAACTGTATTCTTTAATTTTCAAGTGCTGTATATGCAACAAACAGTTGCCTGGATGAACTTTATTTATTATATCATCTTATGGTCCTTACCAGTGCTGCCAATTCCAGCATTTAGGATTAAATCAGTCTTAATTATGAAGAGGATATTTTCCCTTTTAAAATGAAATGTATTTGCCTAAAAAATTAATGGAGCGTTCACTGTAAAATGCTTATGAAATGTCCCATATGAATTCTCTAATGCCTGCTGGTTATTTGTTAATATCATTACCTTTGCCACTTTTGCAATTATTAATGTAGTTGCCAAAGTAAGCAAAACCACATGGTTACTTGAAAACTAACATGAAGAATTTCTAGTATAGACCATGTGGTGGGCATTGAAATCTAATTCTTAATTGATTTTATGAACATTATTGTGATAAGTAAGAATACTGTGATTTTGAGCTGTCATATGTTATTTCTAATCATTGGAGTATAAACTGTTAATCTTCATATTTTTAGCTGGTGAGGAAAAGGGAGAAATTTCTCTCATGCTTATCATCCGGAGATGGAAGACATGGAATCTAAATTGTGACTGTCTTGCCATATATCTGCGCATATTAGATTTGAATTTGGCCTAGTCTGACAACTGACAGAAACCACTGTGTGTGACGAATGTGCTGCAGAACAGAAATAGAAACCCATCCCAAACTGCACAGAGCACAGCTGTATTCTCTCCCTCGCATCCTGACTGGGCAAATTGCATTAACAGCATTTTAGAAACATTAAATCAATGAATAATTCAGGCTGATCAAAACTTTACTGATCTCTGAAGAAGGTAACACAAAGAAGCAGTCAGTCCTTTAAACTCAGCTCACGTTTGTGGACAAAAGGTCTAAGCAAGCCCAGGTTCAGAGGTGCTCCAATACACCTTTCCTGTTGGAAACTAAGAGCAACAATTTCTTCAGACTCTGCCCAGGTAAATCCCACATGTTGCAGCTTCAGGCTTTCTCCCTGCCTTCCTCTAAAATGGATTTTTTTTTTTTTTCTGTACTTATACATTCCCCTGTATTTCTACCATAGATGGAGATTATATCCACAGATGCCACTAAAATTGTGATTTCAGCTCAGGTGCTCAAATCAGTTATCTGCCATCAACAACATCCTCAAGAGGTGGCTTCTAAGAATATCTTAATATTCCCAAAGCATGTGCTTGATAGCCCTGTTCCCAGACTGTTTGTTATTAAGTAAAGGGAGTTTCTAAACCAGTGCAAGCAGAAGTCCATTTGAAAAAGGAACAGTCACCTGCTAGAAATAACTTCTGCAGAGTGTCAGACTTCTGTAGTCAGAATGACTCAAGTCTGTTCCTGGTTTGAAATAATTTATGAGACCGTAGGCTTAAAAGACTGCCAAAAATGAACCCTAGAGGGAAGTACAGGTTAATTAGAAATACTCTGACCCATGCTAGGGAAAAACAGATCTGAGGACATAGGCAATTGATGGACAATCTGTTTGCCATTGATAGACAATAGTTTGGGCACCAAGAATATTTATAAAGGAAGTCTGGAATACAAGAAGCCTCTTCCAGATTGGCTTTACTTTAAGGTTTGCTTTGAGACTTCTCAGGGAAATTATGCTTGAGAGAATGCTCTAGTGGGCTCGGTACTGTAGCCCCTTATGAGATGCCCTTTTTGTCCTTGAAATGCTGGTTTTGAAGTCTCTGTGGTCTGGTGGAGATAGGCATAAGAAGAGCCTTTGTTTCAAATTAAAACCCAAGCATGTTTAAAACATATTAAATCACACATTTTAGTGGAAGCATTCACTAACTGTTAGAACAAACTGCACAGAGAGCTGTTGGATTACTAGAAGCTTTTACATAAAACCTGCCTGCCTTTAGAGAGCCAATAGTGTATAATAACATAATGCAAGAGTAGATGATGTTCTATGACTTGGGTTATACAGGAGATCAAACCAGTTAAGTGTTCCTATGTGACCTTAAAAATCTACAGAGAAGATGGGTGAAGGATCAAGAAAATGCTATTCAAATTTGATGCGTGTTAGGCATGGTGACATATCCATAACAGAGCCTGGGAAGGTTCAATTTTCATATCTCCTTAGCTTCAAAAGTGTCCACAGGATGTTCTATGACTTGGGTTATACAGGAGATCAAACCAGTTAAGTGTTCCTATGTGACCTTAAAAATCTACAGAGAAGATGGGTGAAGGATCAAGAAAATGCTATTCAAATTTGATGCGTGTTAGGCATGGTGACATATCCATAACAGAGCCTGGGAAGGTTCAATTTTCATATCTCCTTAGCTTCAAAAGTGTCCACAGAAATATCGAAAGTGAATATCATAAAAGAATTCTATTCAGC